AAACCTCCGCAAAGGTTATGGGGGCGTCGAGCTCAGTGTTCGGTTCTCCATTGTATTCTTGACTGGGTGTTGGGCTAACGTTTCGCTTGCGTTCTTCTGTGTAGCGTTGTTTCAGCTCTTCTATTAACTGATCCGGATCACCTTGAAATTCCCCAGCTAGCCGTTGAAGGGTAGCGTTTGTTTCGGTTCTTGTTGCAGAGGGATCCAAAAGACTCCGTAGGATGTTCCACGTCTTTTTCGTGCTTAATGTGCCTTTTAAGGAATCGCAGAAGGTGCGCCAGTTGTTGTTGTAAAGTTCCTTTGAGTATGCGTTTACTTCCTCCGTGATTTTCGCTATACGGAGTCTGAGTTTCTTATTTAGCTTTTGTCGGCGCCACCGTTTCGTGAGGCCTCGACGAGCTTCCCAAAGATGTGTCAAGTGGGTGTCAATGGCAGGTGCGTCGGTAGTTGTTTGATATATCTTGGTGTTCTTGTCATAGAGACCCTTAATGTACGGTGTCCATTGGGCTATAGTTGTTGGCTTGGGCCCGTCTACTTCCTGTTGCTCTCTATATTTAGTCCAGTTAGTCAGTCTGGCTTTTCCGAGCGGGCGTCGCAGTCGAGCTGTTTCATATGTTATTTGCACAATATTGTGATCGCTGCCCAGATTGTCGTCCAGCACACTCCAGCGCATGGTCGCGGCATTGTTGGTTACGGTAAGGTCGGGAGTGGTGTCCCTGTTGACACTGTTTCCTATACGAGTCGGTATGCCCGGTGTCGTGAGGAGTGTGTAGTCGTAGCGCTGTATCGCTTCTAAAAGCCGCGTACCTTTGGGTCTGTCTGCGCTATAACCCCATGTGGTGTGCCAAGCGTTGAAGTCCCCAGTGATGATCAAGCGGTCGCGTGGTTGAAGCTTGTTGTTCAAATAGTGGAAGATATTGCTGAATTCTGCTTTTCTGTCTTGTGGGGGACTGTATATGTTACATATACCCTGCCTCGGGCGTCCTTTCTTCGCTGGCCAGAGCGTTACGATAAGGTGTTGCGTCTCTTCGTTCGGTGCCGTTATGCATGTAGCTGCCAATTCTTTCCGGACGAGTGTCGCAATCTCCGGTGTATTTGGATCCATGTACAGTTTGTAGCCAGAAACTGTTTTAGGCCTGGCTCCCACCTCTTGCAAGCAGATTATGTCAGGAGGAACCAGCGCCGCCTTTATGTATAGAGTGAGTGTAGCGTGCTTGTTGTGCAGGGAACGACAGTTACAGGACCATATAGTGAGATTCTCGTTCGCTATGCGTCGGTTAATTGCCATGATGCGAGGAGGTGGGTGTGCTTTCAGCGTCCGAGGTAAGCATGCTTTTGGCGTCGGACTCCTGGGACCGCGGTTCGTTCTGCTTACGTCGACGCTTCGTTTCTTTGTCGAGGCTTTCATGAACGTATCGCTTCAGGTCATGAAATTCAACAGAACTGTTTCATTTGGGCTTCTGTTTGCTGCAGTATGTGCTGTTGCATTAGCTGCAGTTGTTGTTCTAAAGTGAGGTTTGTCGCTGTTTGTTCTGTTCCTATATTGGCTACAGGACCTCGTGGTGGTGTCGATTGCGGTTGGATGTGCCCATTGTCCCGTAGCTTTTCGCTTGGGTGGCTAGTTAGATTTTGAGAGGCCTGGACTGTAGTTTTCGGGGTGGCTCCCATTAATTGGGCCAGCTGTTTTTCGAGCCACATTATTTTGTTCTCGTATTTGTCAAAGCGTTGCTTAAGCTGTTTGTTTTCAGCGATTACTGCTTGATAGTGTACGTTTTGTGTGATGGGGGGAGTACATGCAGACTTGGGAGCCACGGCTTCCGCCCAGCTTACCGGAAGTGATGATGCCTGTTGGGTGCATCCTTGATCCCCACCGTTGCCTTTGGCTCCCCCTCCTGGAGGACTGCGGTGGAGGTTCTGCTGAGTCGGTGCTGGCGCGCTCTTCTTGGATGGCGAGTGCGGCTTTCTGCCCGGGGACCGTGAATGCGACCGGGAACTGTGCTTGTCATCGGCTGACTTGTAGGCGTTTTCTTCCTCTTCGGAGGAGAACCAGCGGAGATTCTTGGTCCTCGGTGGGTCGTTGCTAGTGCCCTGTTGAAGCTTATCACTGTGGCCTGCTTGTACTTGCGGCTGTTTAGGCTTCGGCGGCTTAAGTCTTTTTTTGCAAGTTGGATCTCCTGTGGGGTGAGCCTCCCCGCACGAGGCGCAACTAATAGAACACGGATGTCCATCCGTTGGATTAGTCAGTCCGCACAGCCGGCAAATGGGGCGATCCGGATGCGGGCAAACGTCCGCGCGGTGTCCTTTTTCTCGGCAGACCTTGCAGACTTGAATCGTAGGTCGGAAGGGGTAGCAGCGGAGTTCACCCCCGTAATAGTAGACGGTACGAGGTAGCGTTGGACCGAAAAATGTAATGGCTGCGCTTTTCGTTGTGCCTATCATTCTGGCAGTGATGATCTCCACACCGTGCGTTCTGACACGTAGGTGCGCCATGAGAGTTTCGGTTGAGGTGTTCATCGGTACGCCGTGAATCACCCCTCTCAGAGTATCGTCTCCATTTGCGGCGTAGGCACGGACAGCGTGAGCCCTGCCGTTAAGCACAAGGGCGCGTATCAGACGCACTTTGTCCGCCACTTCCTCATATTTGGTCGACAGAATCACTATGTTTGACCCTGGGTTGATTCTAAGGATGAAATGGTCATCTCTGATGCCAGCTTGGCATGCCTCGATGATTGCTTGCGCAAGCGTAGGAGTCAGAATGTTTTTCAGCGGGAGGGCCTGGTTTGGACGAATGACGATCTTGTAATCGTCCTTCGGCAACGGCGGTAGCTTTGGCAATTTCTTGAATGTTGGCGTGCCTGTCTTAACTTGGTCCTGGAGCCCTGCGCTGCCACGCCTCCGCTCCAGTGCCTCTTGCTTGCGTTTTTTGGTGGATTTCGCTGCCTGCCAGCTAGCGTCCTCTTCTGCATGCGATTGAGCGCCGATAGCGTCTCGCTCACCGTATCGTGGTCGCCCTGGAGTTGCTCCATTGACTGCGCTCACACGCTACTTCACTGAAGTGCTCTCAAACGTCCTTTTCTAAAAACAACGGTGTGCATTGATCGTCATCGTGTGGCTATCAGAGATAAAGGCGCTTCTTTTTTAGGTGTTCATCCATCAAGAGTCCTGACGCAGTGTTAATTTGTCGCCTAGAGCCGTGGCCATTTGCTTAGCCGGTACGCCCATACAGCTCCTCGAAGCATGATTGAGAGAAGTTCGTGTTGAAGGGTATTACACGAAAGCTTTGCACCAAAAAAGCAGTTACACAATACGTTAACGCCTTCCGTGGTTTTACGACAAAATGCCGGTGATACCAATACTTCTGTTCCTCAATGTGTAGGAATGTTTGGAACTGCGAACTTGCAACGCTTTGCAAATGTTCACGCTCTGATATTTTGATGAGTTTATAATATATTCTCAAGATAGCTTAAACTTCGCATTCGCTTCTTCAGTGGAAATAACTGTAGAGACATGTTGGCTCTGAAAAGCATCTAGGCAATTCACAGATTAGCCGCTGGAATGTTTTTACATTTTGACAAAGGGCAGGTCAAAAAGGCTGCCGCAAATATATACACTTGAGCACGATGTTAGGGGGTTAATACGAAACTTTTAAGTAATTGGTGCAAAAGGTCTTGAAATAAATTGATTATTAGAAAATAGGTTATATTTCGCTTCACTTTTGTATTTTTATTTGTACGTTACGTTTCAAGCAAGCGCCTCAGAGTGACCTCTACTGGGGAACCACAGTCGCAGAGTTTAGCCCCGCAAGAGATATTAGGTGCCTAGTTTGTACTCAATGAGACCTAACATTGCGATTTCAAAGTTCAAAGACGCCATAATTCATGCATCAGTTATCTCTGAGTATAACCGCCAGGACTCAAATAACAAATAAATACAAATCTTCAAAATTCAAAATGTAGACCCCACTCTGATACAGCGAGTTATTATTTCGTGGTTATGGTTCAACCCATAGTGACAACACAGGGTGCCTAAAAAATAAATGCTTAAGAACAGTCACGGCTGTTCAGCATCACCTTTATTATTAATCAAGCAAAGAAATGAGAAAACCGCGATGCGAAGGCCACACTGGGTATTTAGACCCGGGCAATAAAGAAACTATAGAAACTGCAAAATACGTAGAAAAAGAAAGTAGCTTGATCTTCGGAGGAAACTGCATTTTTAGCACAAAAAAATCTCTCTATACTAAAAAGCCACAGCTTTGCCGCAAAGGCGGAGCAATGAATGCGAAAACAACGAATTCGAATGCCATGCGAAGAATGGCAAGTAAGTCTGAACGTGCCCCGCGTTGCTCATGCACAACTGACACACTAAACGTACTCACTGGTACAGATGTATGCGAATAAGTGTTTAAGTTGTCAGTTTTCTAAGACTGCAAAGCGTGCTCTTTTCACAAACGGACACAAAATATAGACTATGCAGCGAGTGCAGCGACCTTTGTGCGCCCGGTAACTACAACAGAATCGTTCTGGTGAGAACCGAAGGCGTTCGGTTGTCCCCACCACGAGACATGGGCGTACGCGCGTGAGCGTTTACGCCCACTCCCCGTCCCCCTCTCTGCGGGGCAAAGTACGCATGGGAGATCAGCGCATGAGCGCGCGTCGTCGCGTCATGACGATTTGGCGAAGCGCGCGCTCATTGCGCCATCTCGCTGGTAATGCAGATAGCGCGATATTTCTTCCGAGATCAGCATCGCCAGTAATAAGCGGTAGATATAAGTAGCTTGCCGTTTAAGCGTTGAAGGAACTGCTTCTTCGTGGCTCAGTAGCTAACGCCACGCGCTCATACATAGATATGTATACATATACGTTAAATGACGGTGGACGCCAGCGGCGGAGTCCCGCCGAGAATGTCCATATGATATCGCAATAAAAGCAATCACCTTGTACGTCACGCTTGCCTTACCTGCAAATTCACGATAATGTGATGAATGTGGGAATGCTCACAGGCACTGAAGGGTTCTGGTGAAGAATTTCATCATCTCATCAATGGCAGTAACGAGGTCCCAGGTATTGCGGCTGAAGTTACGAGTACTAATCATGAAGTAGGTGACCTCGGGAACACCGAGAGCTGCCATGTAGGGCCAAGTCTGTCAAAAAAAATATACATGAGATCCAATGGTGAAAGCAGAAGATACCCGAGGTAAAAAAAAATATATATTGTGCTGAATGCGAAGCAGCAAAACTACGGGACTGCAAATTGTACATAGATGCGTAATACTATATTTCATTACGCAGCTCATAACTTGAAGTTTGCAGCTCTAATATCTCAGTTTTTATAGGGTAGGTTACACACAATAACAATCATCTAAATCGGTCAAGCGTTGTGAACCACTGGGTGGTACTGGAATATCAATAAAGGTATGCGCAAATCACTTGTATGAAATGGTGACTAGGACGAGGGTATATGTCAAGGTCAGGATGAAAAGGTTTCGGAGAACACGCATTTAGGAAAACTTTTATGGTACTTGATAATATTCTTAGACATCTTATAAAACAGCATTCCTGGCTGAGCCTTAATTTAGGTTAAACGGGATTTACATGAGGGCACTTCATTCTTATATGGACCCTTCATATATTATCGAAGGCCTCGGCGCCAGTATCAGTGTACTGGCTCTTATCAACTTTATTTTAGACCACACTGCATGCGTGGTGCGCTGCTGGGAAGAAGTAATGCTTGCTAGAAATAATGTTTTACAGCGAAATCTGTTATTAGATCACAACTCTGATTGTGATCTCATAGCTTACGATCTCATAACATAACGATGTGGTTACGGAGCACCAGCGGTGGCCGGTGTCCGTAACCACATCGTGCAAATTTAGAGAAAACCTAACACCAATGACACAGTGGGGCTGCAACCCGGGTCCGCTGGGTGCCAGCCCAGCATTCTACCACCGAGTTACGGAGTTTCACCGGTGCTTGTGACTTGTCAAACTTGCCTTTGGCAGGCTTGATGTCGGGAAAGCAATCGTGTTAATACGACCTATAAAGCGTTGTAAGACAGCGAAAGAACAACCAGTCGTCGCACAATGCAGATAGCCTAACGAGTGGGCCGTCCAATGCCCCAACCCATCAAAAAAGCGTGTTCTTGTTCCTCTATTAACTGTGGGGATTACTCACTTCAACCATTATTCCTCATCTTTGTCAGCCACTGCAAGGACAATTGGCACAAAATACTTTGCAAGTGTTTAGCGGAAATGACGCTTCTCAGAAAAATGATGAAAAATAGCATATTGAATACCAGCCGACTACCCAAATAAATTTATTAATATTGACTTATTGGGTATCGAGCAAGTGTGCTTGCACGAGTTACCCAATGAGTGTTTCGAAAAGGCTCTGAAAGGCCGTTCTTCTAGCTTGTGCTGTGACTGTGCTGCGCCTTCCACACAGACCAGGCGTTTTTTTTTTTACGCTGGCCCTATGATTGTGGGATAGATGAGGAGAAGTTCAAATAGAAAGAGAAAATGGTCACTTCATATCTTCATTTTATCCTCTTTTATAGCGCGTAAAGCTAGAAAAGACGACACGAAAAGAAAAGCAAAAGCGCCGACTGTCTTTATTGCACTGACGATACCAGGCACAAATACATGCGCAGAGACAGCGAGTAAGATAAGAATGATAGCCAAAAAAATTTCTATCGGCAATGAAAGCACTGGCTGACATAAAGCAGTCTTAATCACTAATTTTCTAAAAACTAAACTCCTCATTAGCCAATGCAAGCGATGGCATGCTGACACATTCCACTCCCAAACGAGCAATCTCGATCTACCGCCTATACTATTTCTTTGGAGCTCTGGTATTTGTCACAATAAACAATGCCGCTTTCACCAAACTCAGATTTGCAAAGCTAAGTAAGCTGTATTTCTGTCTGGTATCATCAGAGAAATAAAACTTTTCGAAGTCAGCGCTCTTTCTGTCCGTGTCGTCTTTTCTAGTTCCATGCGCTGATCCATACATTAAAATGAACTAACTAGCCCAGCAAGCAACCATACTTGATTATCACCTGTATAAGCACGCCATTTCAATTTCGAAGCAGGTACAGTCGTTTTATAGACTCTCTCCGAGTGGTTTTACATCAAGCAAGTGAGTAGAATAATAATGACCGACTTTGTGGCAAGAAGATGTGTTGAAAGATAGGAGAACGAATAATTTTATTTAAAGATATGGAGGATATGGAGAAGTGCCACCTATTAGGGCGACACCACGGACCGTTCCTACGCAGGACAGTTAAACTTGACCTAACTGCCATATCGCAGGCTCTCTAGACAGGCCAAAGTTTATGCTGATATTCCGAGCCCTTGAGAGCCGAGCTGCATTCCTGCTCCGTGAGCTCTTTGTCCAAACGTAACGAGAGCGACGCCAAAGCATGTGCTCTAAATCGCACGTTCCTCCACAGTGAGGGCACTCATTTAAAAGTACGAATGATTGTTTTCAACATCAGTCAGCAACCAATACTGTGACTTATGAGATTACGTTGGAAGGCGCTTGTGCACGCTAATTTTGCTGGGTCAAAGTGCATCCATCAGCGATTATGAGCATGAACAACTGGTTGAACAGTTGCAAATATGGTGGTAAACTCGAACATACTGAAATGGGAACACCATCTTATTCGGCCGAGCGTAAGACCTCTTACCGTAGTGAACTTCCTAAACATAAGAGAGTAGACTTGGCTCAGGGATATTTTCTTTTTCCGAGAAAAACGCCGGTTACCATCCGCGACGATGGCGAAGTGCTGAGGTATGGTTCCTTGTCGTAGCACCGAAAGCATGATTCTTTCGTACCAGCATAGTTGGGAATCCCATCCTGGCAGTGAAGAGTCGTAAACAAAAAAGCATGTTTTATCCCTTTACCAGTACGAATTGTTATAATAGGAAAGCTAAACGCGTCTTGACAAAAATAGTTCAATCTTCATTGTACACTGATGCATGATGGCTTGCTATGGTTGCTGTTTTTTTCTTGTAGATATCGTATCGCTTGATGCGTTTGATGTGAATCACTTACGTTCAAACTTCGTAGAACACTTCAATAGCAATGATCGACATCAATTATCAAGTAAAAACCTTTCTGGCAGCTGAAGTAGTTAACTTTAACCCATATGGAGTGCGCAGGAACTGCGGCGGAAAGATGGCACCTACAGGCACATAATAAACACTAGTATTCTAAATGGGCTCGTGGAAAGCGTGTTCATGTGAGAGGGAAACGGATAGGTGTGCCGTATCCTTTCAATGGTAGGTTACCCGTTTAAAGGATTCGTCATGCGCACACTTCCTCACAGCGCTTCAGAAATACGAGAGACCGTGCTCGTACCCTGAACCATAAATGCGTGAAGGTGTCCCGCCACCGGCTATGACGTGTAAGTGCAACGAAGCACTCACTAAATATGTACTGAAACAACATAGAGCGGAAATCGGGAGCCAGTCTCAACGGAGCGAGGTAGCGTGCCTCGAAGCGAGCGTTGAACGAATAAATTCTAACATCGAGGAGCTCATGTACTGAAACTACCGAAGTGTGTCCTGTCAGCCCCCATTATTGCCATGATGCAGCACTTCACTTAACCTCTCCAATACGGTTATCCGCACTGCCTCAAGAAGGTCACTGTGAAAAGAAAAGGTGTTAAGATACAAGGCACGTATGTACAGTCACATGCGTCAGCTTCTCTAGCGCAGTTCGCCAGGCACCTTGTTTCTCGACGTTCGCGGCCGTGGACGTCCACGAAAGTTAATAAGAGAGTTTGGTGTCGTGGACCGAGAGGTTATAGGCTTTACTCCCGTGTATTAAGTAATATTGATTTTTTTTCAATTTCTATAAACTTTACTGGCTTATTCCCGCGCTTGAAAAAAAGTCCTCAAAGCTTTGGTGGATGGGGAAAAAGTACATTTTTTTCAGAAACTAGAGTGAGCAGGCGGAAATTTCTGAACTAGAAATTTCGCATCTGTAGAAAAAGTTAACAGGCGACACTGATATCACTAGTGTATATCAGTGTCGCAATATCGCCGATCTGTAGGCACTGTCATGATGGATCGAAGGTATGCTCCAAACTATCCTTGAAATAGTGTGCACCGCCCGGTCTCTCATTAAGTCACTTTCATTTCTTCGGCAGCTTCACATAGCACCACAGTGTGAAAACTTGTGCTGCTTCGAGTTCCATCCCGATATTGATGATGCCAGGGAATCTGCGAAGCGACAAGCTCCCATTGAAATAAAATACAAGAGGTCAGCAAGTGGTGGAGGTTGATCGGGCGTCCCACCCATTACAGTCATGAACGAATCTTAGGCGTACAATGAGTGCTCTTGGCAAGAAAGGCAGTAGTTTGAGCGTTTATAAAAACAAAAGACAATAAGAGAGGATAGTATCAGGAGATGTGGATAATATCAAGAAGAAAAAGAACAATAGGGTGGCCCCTACAGCCGGCTATTCTTCTCTGCGACCTCAAAATATTGCATAAGAACCTTGAGTATATGATCATACTGACAGGAAGGAAAGCGGATAGGTCACTGTCGTGTCGCATGAAGTACCTGGTAAAAAACTGCGTGAACGTGACGGCTTGCTGTAGGTGCATGTTGTAGTGTGGGACTGAAACAGCTTGCTGGGATAGTTGGCAATACGAATGCAGTTCTAGGCATTAGGCAAGTCAAGAAAAACAAAAATAACGATGACAGTTGAAAAAAAGCAGGAACACTAAGATTGCCGTGACAGCGCTAGGTGTCCCTTTTGCTCTCTGTGTTTGTATGCTTATTTTTATTTCTATATAGCTATGCAAATGTATAGACGCTCCAGTGGTCATATAGTGCCGAAGAAACTATTACAATACCATTGATCCCAGTAGTCACCTGCTTTGGCTGACAAGGGCAGAGCGCCAATCCCATTACATATGAATCATGCACAGTTTCAGCACAATTAGCGTGCACACAGCAGCGGCCAGCAGATGTGATGCAAATTAGACGAATAGTAACGTAATTTTTTATATCACACATACAATCATACGAAATAGGTGTTTGAAAAAGCGGAATAACACAGAGCAACGAGGTTAGTGCAAAACACTGATATGCGTTCAATTTTTACTGATACCATAAAATAGTTAGCATAAAGAAACATAGAAAAAGATGGAAAAGGAAAGATCGGAACATCACGTAAGAAGCACAATAAAGTCACGTGACCTCTAGAACAAGAAATCACGCCACAGTACACACAATATATGTTCTCTCAAAGACCCCAAAACGAACCCAAAGTGACATGTCCTCACCTAACGCGAGTAGTTTTATTAGGCGAGGATGCCGCCCGGGCTTGAAAGGAACCTTCTTCCTAGGGCGTCCAGGTACTAGCGCTGGTGCTGGTTGCATGTTTGCAACCCAAGTGCAACCACGATATCCTTTCGTTCCGCGACTTTTTTTTCATATTCCTGTTTCTTATGCCTTCAAATCTCACTCAATGTCTATGAAAACTTCAAATGAAGAGCTCGTAGTTATTTAGGGGTCGCAGTTTGGCTTGTGATTTAAAAAAAACGGTGTTAGAATTTTTAGAGCCTATTTTAGAGGCAGCCCCGCCAAGGTGATCTAGTGGCTAAAGTACTCGTCTGCTAACCCGCAGGCCGTGGGATCAAATCTCGGCTGCGGCGGCTGCATTTTTGGTGCAGGCGAATTTACTGCAGGTGCATGTGTCCATATTTTGGTGCACTTTAAAGAACCATTCGTAGTCAAAATTTCCGGAGCTCTCCACTTAGGCGTCTCTATCATGTGGTGGTTTTTGAACGTTAAACCCCAGATATCATTCATAATTTTATAGGCGGGTAACCTTTATTGGCACCTAATTTCTACTTTTCCATTCCGACATCTTTTTTGGGTCGCATTGACTTTCGAAAACAGTTTTGAAGAAACCTTACATTCACTAGTCTATCTTATCAAACTGTATCACTCGAGGTTTGCTATAAGACGCACGTATGTAAGAGAGTACTTGCTGTTCGGAAGCACAAAAAAAAGAAAACGAACTCAGTCAACTCTCTCAGCGTAGTATTAAACTCTATTGCTAGAACCACTTTATTTTATAGCATGCAAATACTCACTGCCTTTACAGTCAAACCTGCCACGTTAGAAAGCGTCCATGCAGAGTGAAGCGTAGTTTTCACGAAGAGATAAAATGTCAACTTCCTTGACGCTCGCGTAGGAAACTTGTACCTTAATGTAAAAAGCAAAGTAAAGAAAACAGACACCGACCAACATGAAAGTATTTACAAGCAGCAATAAAAATTCGACAAGCCAATATTCATGAAATTGAACGAGCAAAGCCAGCAAGCAGACAAAAACAGGCAGTGTCGGTGAAATAACAATTCCTGTGAGATAATAGATGAAAAAAAATACTAACAACAAGCACGGTAAAAGAAGATCAATAAAAAAATTTGTCCCTTGCAATGATTTTTTTCATTTGGTGTAGCCATATTAGATTTTAGCCACAGGAGTATTTTCAACGCTGTATATAACTTTTTACTAGAGTCTAAATGAAATGACTGGTAGGCGCATCTTAATTCAGTTGCCATAGTTCCAGACGTATCAATTTATTTTTGGCATATTGGTTTGATTACTCAATTTTTTATACTTTTACGAGTTTAATTTATTTATTTGTAATGACTAAACAATTCACTTTCCACCCGTTCACTCTCCAACTGAATTATTTTACTAAGCAAGGCACCGCACGTTTCATGGCCTATTACCTGGAGTGGGCTGTGCCAAAATGTTGAGGAATTAACCAACCATTCAAACCTTGGAAGTGTTGAATCTAAGCGTGAGTGAATGAAATAAATGGCTTCTTGATTCTATTTTCTGCTGCTTCCCCCATAATAAAACGCTATGGCGTCTTGGTGTTGTGCGTCGCAATACCCCCTCCCTTCTTTTTTTCGAAATTGGGTGTTCCAAACAAAGTGAACATGTCCGCACTGTATGCACTGCTCTGCAAAAAGCTCTCAATTTTGTTAAAAACATTCAAATTGTGTTGATTCACGCGCTAGCAAAAGCAAGTTTCGGTCAATTATACAAACTGGCGTTCTCATGTGTGAGCAATACTGTAAGCCACATCGCAAGGGCATGGCGGGTAGAGCGTTCTGTGCTTCGTTGTACAGGGCTTCCCTGAATTGCTATTTGTCGTCGCGCATGTTTCAGATAATCTTAATGGGGCGGACAAAGCAACCTTCGAGCAGTTATGCGCCGTGATTTAAGTGTTTATTCGTTAAATATCAAAACGTTATTTTATATATATGGTACATGAATAATTGCCTCACCTTTTTCACTCGTTTTTGCAATATCAGAAACTGATTGTGCGTCGCTGTCACTCTCCACGATCGCCCTGCACGGACCGACCGTGTCCTTCATTCTCGTATATTTCTGTGATCCGCAAAGTCGAACAGGCAGCTACAGAATCCGTGCCGGCACGTGCGACTAGTTTTTTCAGAAGAACACAGCTGCAGCTTACTAATATACGAAGTAATGCAGCACTGGCGCATTCTGTTTGAATATTCTGTTTGAACATTCTTGCAGTTCAGTGGTGAACCCATCTAGCCGGATGAAGCTCGATCTAAATCTGTATGCATTCTTTTTTTTTGCCTGCCAAAACATCGGCCTTTCGAAGCAGAATGAATAACCCAAGTAGTGGAGGTAATAAGCTATGCCAGTTGAGCGAATGTGTTTTCTCATACGCAAAACAGTAACAGCTGCGGGAGTCCTTCACCCTTGCCATGCTCTTGATGTATTTCGCCCTGCCCTGACGGCTCGCGAGCAGCCTTTTCAGTTGCTTATTTTTTGTACGCACTGTTGGGTTTTCACTGTTCGTAGCTGTTCCACTAGCACATTATATTTTTGAGAGAGTGAGAATTCGCGAGGCATGAACCTAATGGATAATAAGAATTGTGACGCTAAAGACAGCGTAGATGGCTTAATTTGTGCTATTGCCATTCTATTCTGGTAGTTATATTACAAATGCCAGGAAAGGAAATTGCATAAAAAGACAACAAGTGCCGTCGGCAGAAACCAAACCTACGACATTCGGATAACGCGGCTGATGCTGAAGAAACCGTGCTACGGCAGTGGTTGTTCTCTGGTCCACTTTGTCGAGTATTTCTGTGCATGGAAAGACGAGATTGACAGTCAGCGGCATTCGTATATCCATGACGACAAGTTCGGAACACTTTTCTCTCCCTGATGGTGTCGCGTGAAACGCAATAGATGGCATGCACTGACGTCATTGAAACCACCCTGTTGATGAACCACATGACACACGCAAGGTTTAAGGCACTAGCGGTATTGTTATTACTATATAATTTTATGTTTTTTTGTTATTAACAGATAAAGGCAAATAAAAATTCTGCCCACATCGTTATCATAATAAAGCAGCTCAATCATATGCTGTAGAATATGCTGTCTGTACAATCAAGCCCACCTTGTTGTTGATGCAGTACTTTATGGAGCTGCGATGGTGACGTCACGTGCAAGCTATTTGTATACGTCTTCTCCAATGAATGCACAGCCAACGGATAAACCATTGCAGACTACCGAAAGGTTCAAGGTCTAACAGAATGAGACCATTGCAGCAAGTGAACAAATAAATGGCAGTATTTGAGCGCTCGTTTCTTTGTTTAACACAGTTCTAACGAAAAGAAACAGTGAAGCCAAGAAAGCTAAAGTACACGTTATTTTTAGTATTGCAGATTCTTAGCAGCAATTATATCATCATCATCATCATCATCATCAGTGCGACTACGTCCACTGCAGGAGATGGGCCTCTCTCATGTAGCGCCATGGTCATCTCGGCCCTGTGTTTGCTGCTGTGTGTATATTATAAATGGGAAAAAATAAAGAACTGAGCAAAAATACAAGTTACCCCCAGTAGATACCGATTATGTGACCTTTTATTAACGCGTCTGATGCTCTCCCAATTGACCTACAGCAGCGGTGGTCATTCTGTCGGACTTGACTGGTACTTTTGCGCGGGCAGACCTGGATGTGTTAGTCAGATTCGGTAACAAGAAATTGAGGTTCAAGTCAATGGAGCTGACAAAGTTGGTAGTTCCACAGCCCATTAAGGGTGGGGGGAGGAGCTTTGCAGGTTAAGAGAAAAAAATTCGTTGAACTGGCAATGATGTACTAAACTGCCTAAGTTCTACCTAAGCTTTGGGCAATTTCTATCAAGGTCAAGTGAGTGAGAATTCATTAGAAGGCAGAGAGGTCGGCCTGAGCTAGTTCGCTCTAGCCTGCTACGCTACACAGGGGATAAGGGAAAGGGGAAGGAAAGAGAGATGAGGGGTGATGTAAGGGACAAGAAGAGGTGGTGCCTATGTACAGTAGCCACTTAGCATAATACCCTACAGTCTAGTTTCTAGTCCAGTGCTTTTTATGAAGTCTAGAACAGCCTTTGTAGCAGTTTTTGACACTGTTTGGTCGTTCATTGCTGACAATATGTGGCTTTCACTTAATGGTGTTCGTCCAATGCTTGCCAACGTTGCAGTTAGCATTTTTCTTTGCGCCACGTATAATGCACAGTCACAAAATATGTGAGCTTTCGTTTCGCGCACTTGGCAGCGTTCACAATTCGGGCTGTCTGCACGGCCGATTAGGTGGGTGTAGTGGCGAGTGAAGGCGACGCCCAGGTGAATTCGGTGCAGTATATTAGCATGTCTTCGGCTGATTTTATCTGGAAGATGAAAAGTCATACCGGGGTCTGTTTCCCGCAGGCGTTTGTTCCGGTGATCTGGTAGCGACCAGTAAGTGGCAGCGCATTCGCGCATGAGTGATCTCAACAATGTGTTGACGTCACCTCGCGAGTACGGTACTTTGACGTACATAGGAGCGTTGTATATTGCCGCTCTTGCTTCGCTATCGGCTGTTTCGTTGCCAACTAGGCCGCAGTGTCCAGGAATCCATTGGAGTGTAATTAAGTGACCGCTCCTGTGTTTTAGGTCAAATGCTTGCACGATTCCTAACGTTAACTCGTAAAATTGGCCTCTTCTTGAGCAAGAATGAATAGCTTGAAGCACTGATTTTGAATCAGACAGAATCGTCCATTTACGCAGTGCTTGGTCGTTCACAATTTTTATGGCTTCTTGTATAGCAACAAGTTCTGCAGCTATCGAAGATGACCTATGATCTACTTTGTATTGTCGGGAAATACTGAGTTGAGGGATCACGAAGGCTGCAACTGAGGCGGATGAAGTTACGGATCTATCGGTGTAAATGTGCAGAGAGTCGCTGTATCGGTCATCTAAAAGTGCCAAGGTGAGTTGCTTGAGGGCAATATAAGAAACAGCGACTTATATGAAATTCCACGTATGTGAAGGCGCACCAGCGGTTTAGTCAATGTCCATGGAGGCACTGCAGGGATTACGGCAGGTGCAAAGCCTGAAGGGATCATGTGCCTATGCGTATCGAGGCATCGCGAATAGGTGTAGCCTGGTTGGTCCTTTTGTAGCGAAGACAACGGGTGCTTTGCATGTCGGGTCAGCAGAAGAAGGTGCATTCGGAGAGGCTTGCAGGACGTGTAAACCTGTATAGGGTAGGTGCGTGACTCCTCTATAGTGCCAGAGGTGGACGTGCACCATGGCAGGCCAAGACATATTCTCAGTGCTCGTGCCTGAAGGCTCTCTAAAGTATGATGGCACGTTTCCCGCATGCTGGAAAGCACAGGTGAGCTGTACCTTATATAGCCCACAAACAATGCCTTGTATAACTGCAGAAGACTTTTCTCCGAAGGGCCCCATCTCAGTCCTGCTATAACACGAAGAACATACACAAAACTGATTAGTTTGTTTCTCAGCACAGTCACATGCTTTGACCAGGACAGGTTGCGATGAATGACGACCCCTAAATAGCGGTGGTGCTTAACCACGGGAATCACTGCTCCGTGAGCAAAGACTGGGTACCGCGACATTGATTTCTTCGTAAATGCCAATGCAGCACATTTTGCTATTGAAAGTTCCAGGCCCTGACGACGTAAGTACTTAGATGTTATTGATGTGCCTTGTTGTAGCCTTGCCCGCAGTTGTGGTCGCCTTGCTCCAGATGCCCATATGTATATTTCGTCCGCATACGCACTGATTCTGATAACGTCGGGAAGCTCAGCTTCAAGGCCAATGAGTGCTATGTTAAAAAGCATGGGGCTCAGGACGGCGCCTTGCGGAACTCCACGGCTTACGAGGTGCCTCGCCGTGTCACCGTCGGATGTCGACATAAAAATGGTACGTCCTCTGAGATAGCTCCCTATCCATGCGTGTAGTCGACCACCTACGCCGATGTCTTCAAGTGCGCCAAGAATGGCCTCATAGTAGACGCTATCGTACGCACCCTTTATATCTAAGAAAATGGCCCCTACCAATCCCCGACGTGTCTTTCCTTTTCAACTGAAGAAACTAGATCTACAACACCGTCTTTAAATGATCGACCTCTACGGAAGCTATTTATAAAATGTGGTAAGCCGACATTATTCTCCAGCAGCCATTCCAATCTTGCCAGCACCATGCGTTCCATAACCTTACCAATGCAACTGGCTAGGGCAATGGGTCTATAAGAAGACAACTCGTGTGAACACTTGCCTGGTTTCAGTAAGGCCACTATGCGGCTGCACTTCCAACACTCTGGGACTGTCGCTGTTTCCCACGCAGAGTTGTAGAACGACAAGAGAGCCTGCCTTGCTTCCTTGCTGAGGTGATATAGAGCCGAATAAGTAATTCCGTCAGGCCCTGGTGCGGACGACCGTCGGGACGTGGAAATCGCAGCGTCAAGTCCGTGCATTGTGAATGGTAAGTCGAGGCGATCGTCGCTGGATGGCGGTGAGGTTAAATACGAAGGTGATAGCGATGAGGAGGACATACCTATGAGTAAGTGGCAGTAATCTGCAACCTCTACTTCAGGTCGACCTTGCTTTAGAGCCAAAGATCGCAAAGGGAACAACTGTTGAGTGGGCGTCTGAAGGCTTCTGACAGTTTGCCATATTCGAGACAGGGGTTTTCTGGGATCAAGAGAGCTACAAAATACCCTCCACCGTTGCCTATCGAGCTTATCGAGGTGTGGCAATACATGTCGTTGTGCTTGGCGTGCTGTAGATAGGCCAGATGATGATTTCGTCCTCCTGTACCCTATCGGAAAAATAGCCATGGTGGATACTGGAGAACATGGTGGGCATAGTGGAAATAATAGTGGGCATGGTGGAAATTATGATGGCTATGGTGGGACGTAGTGGAAAATATGGTGGTTATGCCGGGACATACTGGGTGGTATGGTGTACAGATGATGGGTAAAGTGGAGATGATGCTGGAAAGCAGAGGCTAGATAGTGGGCAATAATGGGACACTCTGCCCACCATTGCAATAATGCTGGGAAGCCCTAAGCATATGGTGCGTGGTGCTTATTATGGTGGGCTACATGGTGTACCAAGCTGAGAAGCTCTGCCCACCATCGCGATAAT